ATGGCAAAAGTTGTGGGATAGAAACTATAAATTGACAATATCCACTGCATATAACGAAAACCCATACAAAATGTTTTATAGATGGCACTTCCCTTCAGCAAGATGAGCTAGAATGTTTAAGAATATGTCTGCCAAGTGTTGGAAAATGCAACCAAACCCTGGGCTGGTACTGCCACATATGGTGGACATGCCTGAAAGCAAACCAATATTGGACAAATACATACTTGGGTAGAAAAAATTATAAAGGAACATATAGCTTTAAAACTGGAAATATTTCTGTTGGACATTATACCAGAAAAATACAGTAAAAGGAATGTATATTTAATAGTACATGTGTAAACAGCGGCCAGAATTGGGTTTGTACAACATTGGAAGGGTGAGGAGGTCCCTATAGAAGAAAAGATAATAACAAAAATCTTAGAATGTGCAGAAATGAGTAAACTAACACTTGAAATTAAAGGAAGACAATGAATATTTTGAGATATGGGATCTGTTCTAGTGATAGTTAAATAAGAGAAACTGAAGTTAGAACTTCTAAAATCACAACAATAAGATTAATTTTACCATTAGGGTTGATTATTGTAAGTTATTAATTTTGATTAGTATTAATATGTATTAATATTAGGAGGAAAAAGCACTTCATTATGACATTATTACTAGAGAATATTATTATTATTACTATGATGAGTATTACTCAAAAAAATTGTAACCAGACAGCACACCGTTTATATGGATATTGAATAAGTTGCTCTTTCTATTTATATTAAAAATAAAATAAAATTTAAAATAAAACCAGCAATCTTGCAAAATACATTGGCCATTGAATTTGTGTTACTTAAAATGGCCCATAGCTCTGAGAAATGTGCTGTTTTAATCTAGTTTACAATTCCTTGTGAGAAAAAGTTATTGTGGAAGATTTAAGGGATTTGAAAAAGTGAATTACAGAACAAGCCCCGGAAATTGGGTTGCCTTGTAGTTACCTGGGACAAACTAGTAGCAAAATTTGTCTCAGGATATCTAGCTCTTTTGGTTGCCATTAGGTCTTTTCAGTAATTGTTTCCAAAAGAGTGTAGGGAAATAAATAATCCCTTTGAGTGCCATTGGCCCATATTTTTCTCTAAGCAGGAGCCGGTCATTAGTTAAAAAGATTCTTGTGCCCAGGCTTTTAACAATATATCTGTTTAATTAATGTTTTGACCTGGTCTTTCAGGCCTGACACTTATCTTATTAGAAGTTCACTGACAATTATAAAACAGTGAAAGGCAGACCCCTCTCCTTTTCTTTTTTTCTCCCTCATGAAATTGACTGAACTTGTATCACTTTTTCTGTCTAGTCCAAGAAACAGACAATTCGTCTCTTTTCCTTCTTCCCTTCCTTCCTTCCCCCTTCCCCTCAAAAATTCAGACCTGTTAGGGGCTTACTAATCAAGAGAAAACAAAAGACGAAATAAAGAAGAATTGAATTATTATGTATTTCTATAAAATAGTCCAATTTTTGTAGTTTTGCCATTTCAAATTTTCTTTCTTCCTAAACTAAAAATTTTCTTAAAATACAGATAAAAAGCAAGGGAGGAATTAATGAGACATATTAATCCGAAAACTACCACCACATAATTATCTATAGTGCTTCTTTTAGGCAGATGCAATCATCATTATCCTTTTCACGTGCTTTTATTGTACACTTTAAAAAAAGTAAAGACTCCTTCAATCTTATTCCAAAAGTTGCAATTACTATAAATTTCTCTGGAAAAATTGGTCTAATACTCAATACAGAAAAAGTCCAGAAAAACTGGATAGTAAAATAGTAGCTTCTTACGTATAATGCAGGCAGTTCTTCACAGGTATTTCTTACTTTAGCGGTTGAAGTCTTATCTGCGTGATGGCTGAAAAGTGGAAGTTACAAGTTGGTCTTTTGTTGATAATTTTGTGAGATGCTCAGGCTAAATCTCATCTGTACACAAGTCCCAAAAAAGTCAGCGAGGGGGTATATATTTGGAAAGTATAGGTGTGTCCCCCAAATGTTACCTAATCAATCTGCCAAAACGGTTCTGATCCTGTCATATTGTCATTACAGGTTCAGGAATGGCATGACCTCAAGTTACCTTAATTCCCCTTGGGAAATGCTTTCAGATAAAAAAAAAAGCATTGCAAAATATTGCTTTGTTCTCAAAGTTCTGTAGGCTATTTTTTACAAGTTAACTTTCATGTTTTTTAAGCCGGCTTCCTTCTATCAATTATCCTCCATCAACTATGTTTTGTTTCATATTCTTTTTGATAGCTTTCCAGCATCTATTATGTCTGCTTATTTACTTAGGGTGATTTGATTGTGTAGACAAGATGCTTTTAATTCACTTCGTTCGTTCATTCCCCAGTCTCTGACTATTTCACTTCTAGGGTCCTAGAACTTATGTTTCTTTCTGTGACTGACTAATGGGGTGTGAGGTGGATGTGGGATTGGTATATTGACTATGGCTTCCCCATTTTGGGGGTTGTTGTTGAATTTTCCAGGGCTGAGTTGGTGACCAGAACTTATCCCCAAAAGACAGGATGAGCCCCAATTGAATTTGGTGAATCACAAATTGTTAAAACCTTTCCTTGATCTAGCCCAAGGACTTTCCTATGGACTGAGCAATGCTTGATCAGAAAACAAAAAGAAAGAATGGGGTTGTTATTTATATTTGCACCAGTGCCCAGCCAGTGGTAAATAAAGTAAATTCTCCCGTTTGAAAGCCATAGATTCCTAAGAAGATTTTACTGAGAGAGAGGTTATTTTTGAGTGTAAGTTAAGAGGGTTATAGAAAAATGGCTGCATCATGACCGTTCAGCTTGTCAGAAATCCATTGAAAGGACACCGTGAAGTTAGCATAGCCCATTCTCATTTCTCCAGGTTACACCAAGATTCAAACTGCCCTTTCAACTTTTAATACTTTTTCAAAGGAGCTGCATATATCAGATCCTAACCTGAACAAGAAGCAAGAGACAAAATGAAATGAAGTCAAGGTCCAATGTCAGGTGCTGCTGTTAAGGGAGAAAAGGGATATTTACTTTAGAAGCACTTGTATTGATTACTGACACTCCTTTCCATTAGCAGCATCTTCTCTGGAAGATCCAGAGGGACTAAAAAAAAAGCGGTTATTCTTCTTCTGTGTACCAATGCCATGCTTTACTTTGTTTTAATTTAGAGGCACTAAAATAATCTTGAAACCTATTTTGAAAAAATAACATGCATTCCCACATTCTTTGGGATACAATATAAATTGATTTGTTTTTTATTCTTATTTGGCAAATGGCATTTCACGGTTAGACACAAATAGTTTGAGCCAGCATTTGTACCATAAATTTTTAGCTGTCTCTAAAAATTGCAAATTAAGATAATAATGGAGTGCATAGCCTCTTTTTTTTTTTTGCTGTTTTTTTCAAAGTCCAAATTCTAACAAAACCTTTGTTAAGTATATCTTTAGTAATCACATTTACCAAAGTATGTATGTGTGTGTATCAGTGGTGGGATTCAAAAATTTTTACTACCGGTTTTGTTGGAATGGCTTGGTGGGCGTGGCAGAGGAAGGATACTGTAAAATGTCCAGTCAGAGGTGGTATTTGCCAGTTCTCAGGACTACTTAAAATTTCTGCTACTGGTTCTCCAGAACTGGTCGGAACCTGCTGAATACCACCTCTGGTGTGTGTATATAGTACTTCCTCTATTCCTGGGCAGTATCCACAAACCACAATAGAGAGCTACAATAAAAATAGGTCAATTCCTTTCTCTTATATACCTTGAACATTACAAGTTTGTCTAATAAGGTTTCAAACCCCAAATTAAATATAAAAGAAGACAGATGCCATGTTTGATGAGTTCCTCTGTATGTATATATGTACACCAAAAATACTATTAGTAGATGTTCAAATGGGAATGAGATAATAAATCTTAATAAAAAATAAATAAAATACGAAGTAAATTGTTTTTTATCTCTTATTTTATTAATTGTTCATCACCATATCAAAGCTTTTCCTATAAACAAGCCCACCATAGTTATTTAATATCATACAGAATATTTTGCTAAAATAACTCTAAATACTCCAATGTTAACAGAAACTTGGCATCTGTGAGAGAGAAAGAGAACATACAGAAATAATTTTTGTTGATAATCTCTTCTTTAATCCTCCTGTGAGAACTGCAGTTAAGATCTTTTCATCTATATTTAGGATAGCAAGCAATAACTTACGCAGTCTATAAGTAAAGAACTAGATTTTAAAACATTGTTACATAACTCCTCACAAATTATTTAGGAACAGTCCCCTTTTCCAAAGGCTCATTACATATTCTAATTATATAGGAGAGAGCCAGTTTGATGTAATAGTTAAGTCATCAAGGTTAGAAACTGAAGACCCTAAGTCCTAGGCCCACCTCAGGCACAAACCCAGGGGCTTCTCCAGGCAGATGCCAGGAGTTAAAATCTTACAAAGAAAAAGGTAGGGAAAGAGAGGGATGAGGAAGATCAAGCTCTGTATGTTTTTACATCAATCTATAGGAAGTCAATTTGGCCAGGGCCTCCCCAAATTTCAATATAATGAAAATATTTAAAAAATATTTAAAAAGTAGTATTAATTACTTTTATCTCCCTGATGTCAAGTATTCTAATTCTGGACATCTCCTGTCAAAAATGCCATCCCCTCTCTAAGGCTAAAAGATAATGGATGGTGAAATTGGAGACTAGATATTGTCATGAAGGGGAACTCAAAATTCCAAACTTCACACTACATATTCCTGACTATTACAAGAATACGTTCCTATTAGAAATGCTCAAGCTGAATGTTTTTGTACAATTAAAACTTCAGATATAACATCTAAGGCAGGAATCTCCAGTTGTACTTTGATAACTTCAGGCAAGGTGAGAGTATGCAATCATATCACTATCTAATCAAAGTCAGTAGATACTGTACAGTATATTGAAATAATTTTCTTTCAACATTTGGCAGGCATGAAAAGCAACTTTAGCAACGTTATTTTCTGCCCAAAATGACATCATATATATTTCCTTTCTTTTGCTGTATATCTTTGAAGCCAGCTGTGCTGAGGAATGAATGATACTCTGATGGGGTCCGCATTTTTCCTTCAGTAGCAAGCAGCAGTATGGTGGAGTACATGGCAATAGGAAAAGATGGAGTCTTGTCTTTGTCTAATGTTGGTTCCACTATTAATACTCCACCACCTGTCAAAATGTGATTAATTATAGTTTAGGAATAATAATAATATACACTTCAGATGTGACTATGTTGACCTAATTTTAAGTAGCTTTTTCTCTGGTAATATTACACTACTAACTAGAGCATACAAAACATTTGCTAGACCAATACTCGAATACAGCTCATCAGTCTGGAACCCACATTACGTATCTGATATTAACACAGTTGAGAAAGTTCAGAAATATTTCACAAGAAGAGTTCTCCACTCCTCTATTTGTTGCAGAATACCTTATGCCACCAGACTTGAAATTCTAGACCTAGAAAACCTAGAACTATGCCACCTTTGGTCCGATCTAAGTATAGTATATAAAATCATACATTGCAATGGCCTACCTGTCAATGAATACTTCAGCTTCAACCATAACAATACAAGAGCAAACAATAGATACAAACTCAAGGTTAATCGCACCAAACTTGATTGCAGGAAATACGACTTCAGCAACAGAGCGGTCAATGTCTGGAATACTCTACCTGACTCTGTGGTTTCTTCCCCAAACTCCCCAAACTTTAACCTTAGACTGTCTACTATTGACCTCAACCATTTCTTAAGAAGTCTGTAGGGGGTATGCATAAGCGCACCAACGTGCCTACCATCCCTGTCCTATTGTTGCTTTTATTTTTTTTATTTTTCTTATATGTATCCATGTATTCATAACTATGTTTTTACTTATACCTATTATCTTGTAAGCAATTGACAAACCAAATAAATAAAATAAATACAACAGCATAATTCCTTGACTATTAAGATCAGTAATGTAAATGACATAAGTTTAACTAGATTGGCATTAACTTATATAGAGAAAGGCCACTTTGTAAGTAAGGTACCTTTGCATGCTGGATATGGTTTATATCCTAAGGCAGCCATGAAGTCGTTGCAGGTGTATCCTCATTTTTGCAGACACTTATGAAAATATACACCCCCAAAGCTCTGTCCACTCCCAGAATCTTCTCCCTTCCTTTCCATGTTGTCAGCTACCTTGCACTTTCTTTAACTACGAAAATGCAAGATAGTTCCTCCTAGTCTAGCTGCCAGGTGCATCCTCTACTCAAACAGAACATTCCCCTAGAAAACATGCAGTGGACAATTTCTTCAAGATCTAAGTTACTGGTAAGTTTTTCAAAAGATGAATGTGTTGGGATGCTCTTCTTCATCCTGTGATTTCCCTCACTGGAAAAATGCAGCTTTTATATAGTACCTTTAATCCAAAGAAATTCAGGGTAGGAAAAGTAAGAGAGAACGTGTTCTAAAAAGGGGAAATACAGTGAGCAATCCTGGTATATTTGGCTGTTGTACAGATTATGTCATGAAGAAAAATACACAGTTTGATTCTATGCCTCTGTTTATGCAACCAAGGGTTGCTTTTTTGGCTGCTGCAGCACACTGTTGATTCATATTTGAGTGATTGTCCACAAGGACTCCAAGGATCTTCTCACAGTTATTTTTTTGAGCCAGGTTTTGCCTAACCTATACTTGTACCTTTGGTTTTGTTCAAGTCTGTCAAGATCTTTTTGGATCCTTGTCTTCTGGATCCAAAAGACCAGGATTGGCTATTCCTGACAATTTAGTGTCATCTGCAAATTTGATGAGTTTCCCTTCTATTCCCTCATCTAAGTCATTTATGAAGATATAGAAAAGTACTGGGCCTAAAACGAAACCTTGTGATATCCTAGTGCTTACTTCCCTCCATATAGATGTAGTACCATTAAGGACTACTTGTTGAGTACAATTTATCAGCCAGTTACAAATCCATTTGAGGGGGTGATACTATCCCAGTGGTCACCAACGGTGGGCCACGGCCCACTGGTGGTCCGTGGGAAAATTTTGGTGGTCCACAGAGAAATGTCACCCCTCCCAGATCACCCCCCCCAAACCAATTAATCCAGGCTAGGCAAGAGCACAAGGCTGTGCTGCCCACATGGCTCGTGGGAACCCTCCCTGCCCATTCACTCCTTACCTGGCAAACTTGCCTGCTAAATTGCTATTTTTCCTTTTTTTTTCTTGACCATCATCTGCTCTGCTGTACTGGAAGATTTAGATTAGCTAGAAATCAGGAAATCATTGGATTTCTTGCTTTCCAGCTAATCTTTAGATCTTCGGCTCTGCTTTTAAGCAGAGCTGAACCTCCCCTAGGACTGAAGGTTCTATTATTCAGTTGCAGACTCAGATAGCCAATGGCAGAAACACAGATCTCTAAGTGATTCTGTGATTCTGTGAGCAACTCAATCTGCCGGCCTGCTTTTCCTGATTTTGGGTAAAAATTGTTCTTTTTTAATAAAACATTCAATATTTACATAAATATTTATAATATTTACATACAAGCCATGCCCAGCCAGTCATATGACCACCAAGCCACATTCACAAATTAGGCCAAACCCAAGAACCGGTTGTTAAGAAATTTGACTCCCACCCTGCCTCTGTGTATGTGTGTGTGTGTTTGAAAGAGAGAGGGAAGGAGGGAGGGAGGGAGAGAGAGAGGTTAGATCAGACCTATTTCTATCTCTCTCACCAATGTCAGCAGGCCACCATCAGTCAAAATTCATATTAGTGATCCCTGGGATTTAAAACTATGAGTTTGGTGGTCCCTGAGGTTCAAAAGGTTGGTGACCCCGATCTATCCTACATTTTTCTAGCTTACCAAGAAGTAGGTTGTGGTCTACTTTGTTGAATGCCTGAAATCTAAGTATACTATGTCTACAGCATTTTTCTGGCCTACTAATTTCGTCACTTTGTCAAAGAATGAAATAAGATTGATTTGTGTTTTTAACAAACCCATGCTGGCTTCTAGTTACAATTTTATTTGTTTCTAGATGTTCACAGATCTGTTTTTTCATTATCTTTTCCAGAATCTTCCCAGGTATTGATATCATACTGATTGGTCCATAGTTTCTTGGATCTGTTTTTCCCCCTTTTTTGACAATGGGAACCACATCGGCTCTTTTCTAGTCCTCTGGTAGTTCTCTCATGTTCCAGCATCATTGAAAGACATGGTACAATGGTTCTGAAATAATATACCAGCTCCTTCAGAACTCCAAGATGTAATCTATCAGGTCCCAGTGATTTAAATTCATCAAGATCGGAAGGTGTTCTTTCACCATTCTCTTGCTTATTTTAATTTTAATTTCTAATCTGTCTTTTACAGTCATGTTTTTGGTAGGTTGGACTATAGTTTCTTTTTGTATGAAGATTGATGCAAAGAATGATTTAAGGAGCTCTGCTTTCTCTCTACTGCCTGATACTGCCTTGCAATCATCTTCTCTCTTTAGTGAGCCAGTTGTTCCCTTGACTTTTTTCTTGTTATTTGAAAGAATTTTTTTCATTATCTTTGACAAGTCTTAGTTCATTTTGCGTCTTAACTTTCCTGACTTCATTTTTGCAGATTCAGGCTATGTGCTAGTATTCTGCCTGAGTTATATGTCCCTCTTTCCATTTTTTGTACTTAACCTTTTTGTCTTTCAGTTTATCAGAGAAATCTTTGTGCAACATACTGGCTTCTTCTTGGATTTTTTTTCAGTGGTATTGTGCTGACATGGGCTTTTACAATCATATTTTTCAGAGTTCCCCAAGCTTCTTGAGTTGTTTTCCCCTTTAAGATTTTGATCTAGGGAATCAGGTTCCCTGAGTTTCCCTCAGGTTCCCCGAGTTTGTTAAAATCAGCTCTTTTAAAGTTTAAGATATTGATTGGATTATGTTCTATTTCTTGCATTTGCCTTATATTAAATTCCAACATTACCTAGTCGATCTCGCTCAATGTTCTAGCAATATCAATCCTCTCTATTACTTATTCTATATTAGTAAGAATTAGGTCCAGTACACCTTTTCCCCTAGTTCCCTCCTCTACTTATTGAGTCACAAAGTTGTCAGCTAGGTTGATTAGGAATCTCTTCAATCTTCCCTTGCTCCAGAGTTTGCTTCCCAGTTAATATCAGAGTAGTAAAAGTCTCCCATTACTACTGTGGTGTGTTTCCTATATACTTTTGTTAATTGGTTAGTAAAAAGTTCAGCTATTTCTTCTGCTTGGTTGGGTGGCCTGTAGCATATGCCTATAGCAATGTCATTCTTTTTTTCCTTTTACCCACATGCATTCTAGGAGATCTTCATCCTTGGTTTTGTACATTTCTGCAGAACTTTTACATATAATGCATCTTCATCTTCTCTTTTGTTTCTTTTGAATAGTTTGTATCTTTCCATCAGTACATTCCAGTCATGAGTTTCATCCCACCAGGATCCAGTAATGGCAACTACAGTATATCATATCTGCCTTCTTGTACTAGTATTTACTCTAGTACAGAGTAAGTTTGCCCTGTTTGTTCCCTAAAGTTTGACCATTAGTATATAGGCATTTGAATCCTTTATAGCTGATCTTGCATATATTTCTTATGTCTCCTATTATGTAACTGGGTTTTCTAGCCTTCCCATCGCTTTCTACTTGATTATGTGGTTGGTTATATTGAGATTTATGTTTGGAATTAAGTCTCAAAGATCCTAAAGATTGTTCTAGAGATCCTAAAGATTGATAAAAAAAAACCCTCATTTTTAGTTTACTTTACAGCTCTCCTGATATGTTGAGCCAATCATTACAAAAAACTTCTTCTTCCCAGTTTTCATCCCTTGCCAGAAGCCCGTCATGGATGTAATGCAAACCATGGTCTAGGAATCCAGAGTTCTCTTGATAGCACTAGCCCTTGAGCAAGTGGTTCATTTCTAAAACCCTTTGTTCTCTCAACAGTATAAGTATGCAAAATAGTATCCAAAAGTATAGAGGATTGGCTCCTCTGCCATAGTTTGCAGTTTTCATAAATACAGCAACATAGGTACATACCAGGCTTACACACATTAAACACTTTGTTTAGCAGCTGCAGGCACTTTTCATCATTCCAATCAAACAGGATCCTGGCAAAAATGTACAAATCTGCTTCAGGAATTGGATCTTTAAAAAAATCCCCTGAAATAAAATAATTAAGATACATTTTAAAATATTATCATTTTTGGTGGAAGAATACTTTGTTCTCCCTGTCTATCATTTAAAGCAAAATAAGCTCTTCCATCTCATCATGTTCTGACATTGACAGAAAAGCTAGAATAAACTCCAGTTTACCTCCATGGAAAGTAATCCGTGATGCTTCTGAGAAGGCATGATGTTTCTTTGATGTTTCCACTACTTCAGGGAGGTCAAAAAGTGTCACAGAACAATTTGGATAAATTGCAATCAGTTCCTTAGATAAGGCACCACAGCTTCCTTAAAGAAAGAACAAAATTAAAAGAAAGAACTATATAAAATAAAATTTTAAAATATATATTTCAAACTGTTTTTTTGGTTTAACCATTTTAAAATGCTTCAGTTACCTCTGTTACTTCCAACATCAAAGTCTGCTTTCTAGTTTCCATACAGCAATAAACAGAAGTACAAAATATATTCTAATATTTTCTCTCTTTCATTTTTGTAAAATGCTTCTCTTTAGTCTTTTTCAATGGGCTAGATATTCCATTTTTCAAACATTTATCCTATTAGCTATTATTTCTCATTCCTTTTCCTGTAGCTTCCCTTTCCATGCCGTCTTTTCATATTTACCTAACCCATCTTTTTTCAGTGGACCCAATGAAATCTAAGCACAGTTAAAATTAATCCATCCTGCTTCCACTGCTTGCAGCCCCATGCAATATTAGCTTTCTTAAAGCTAATCCTCTTTTTAAAATCCTCTTATATTAGCATTCCCCCAAGCAAATTGGTCTACCTTAAAAAAAAACACTTTTTGGTGATAAAATCAGCAATTGTTGTCCAGAATATGGGTATAAACAATGTATGCAAAGGCTATACAAAAACTTCCATATAGTTATGGTAATTCTGTGTTTCAAGTTTGAGTATCCAAGGATGAGGGTCAGCAGAAGCCCTTGATCTTTGTAACGAATGTACTGGCGATTGACAGTGTCTAGTAATATTGTATTAACATACTGCGCACATAAGTGCATTGTATATGTTAATAGGCACCCAGAGTCCAGTGATCCAATATCAGGCCTTTAAACAGTGCGTTCTGTATCTTCAAGGCATTACCAGGGCAAATGCAATTCTGCGTTGCTTTCTGTCCTTAGACAACTTTGTTCTAGATTTTTGTTTCGTTTTTCCACATTCATAAAATTTGACAATATCAATATAGACAAGAGAGGAAAAAATGGGGGGGGGAGATTGGGGGGGGGGCATCCAGGAATAGTGCTCAGTTAACCCTTTAAAACTTAAACTTGCCAATTATTGTTAGTAAATCTTTATAAGATAAGAGGAGCTCTGAAAAGAGATTTGGCAAAGTAGACTTTTAATTTCTGATGAATTCTACTCTTTCAATCCTGAAAACATAGTATTTGTGAAATAATGTAAGAAATCATAGAACCCAACCCCGCTCCCAAATATTCAAATGGTAAAATGTCAAATTAATCATCAAGCAACGTGTCTAAGAATTTGTGATATTTACCACCTATATCATAAATGGATTCAAATTCAGAAAGGTCAAATGCAGTCAGTACTTCTCTTCCATGCAAACTCCAAGCTTCATTCATATACCTAAAGACAGCTTCAATTCTTTCTTCTGACCTAGAATTGAAATTTACACAATAAACTTATTTTTTTACATAGAAAAGAACACCTCTATACCACTGTAATCTGTAATTTACCAAGAAGAATCCAAAGATTATGGAGCCTTGATGTTCTACATCAACTTCAAAGAGTTAATATTTGATATTAACTTGATAATATGTGATAAGGGAAATAGAATGGAGTGGAATGGAATGGAATGGAATGGAATGGAATGGAATGGAATAGAATAGAATGGAATAGAATAGAATAGAATAGAATAGAATAGAATAGAATAGAATAGAATAGAATAGAATAGAAT